CGTTTCAGGCGGCAAGATTAGCACCGAGGGTCAAACTGGGATCGTGGACGCGGAGCATCTGACCCGAGCGTTTTTGTAGCAGGTTTCTTGTGTCCTTGTAAGTGGACATTTGCTGGTCCATGTACTCGTGCGCGAGCGAAGCGAGACTCTCCAAAGTAACTGGTGGTGTAGTAGCTTGTGGCGGGGCAGACGGTACCAATACGCCACCTGAAAAACTGCCTGGTGATGGCTGGTTGGTTCCGATCCAACTTTCGCCGTACACAGGCCCCAGTTGGCCGGCTCCGAACCAGCTTCGCTTCCTTTCGTCGAAACCCGGGGGGTGGCGGGGGATACCCAACCAGAGCGTGGGCCCGTGTGGCGCCGCCCGGGGTGCTGGTTCCGATCCAGCTGTTGTTATTGGCGCTGTACCCCTTTCCTTCGTTGTCGTCTGCAGGCTGTCCTTTCCATTTGCCTTTGTTGGGGCACTCGTTGCCCCAGTGGCCCTTGTGGCCACACTGTCTGTCTGCTGGCTCCAGGCCGCGCTCGAGAAAGAGCAAGGGGCGGGGGGTCCCGCAAAGTCGTCGCGCGCGTAGCGGCAGCCTTTGCCGCACTGGCAGAAACCGCTCGAATAGAAGGAGCAAGGAATCCACATATCTTTCGCTTTGCTTTTGGCGTCGTCTGGTTTGCCGCGGCCGCGGCCGTCGCCTGTCTGAGCAGCACCCTCGAGAACGCTTGTTGGTGTAGCAACCGGATCAGGGGTAGCAATGGCAGCCCATTCGCTGGCTTTCTGCTCGGCCATCGCAAGGATGGCGTCCGGGCCGTTCGGGCTGGTGAAAGACACCATCTCAAGACCTACCTGCAGAGGTTTGATCTTGCCGATCAGCCGTTTCAGCGAGCGCAGCTGCGCCTGCCGTGAAAGCGTGGAACCCACTGCGCGCAGCTCCTCGTACTCCAACCGCCACACTTTCAAAGCGCGTTGTAGCTTGCTCCTGTCGGCGACAGGTTCTGGATCCGTGAGCTTGTCGTTCAGGGCCGAAACGTGCGCGGCACTAGATGCCAGCACGGCGCGGGCGAGGGCGACCAGCATGGCGATGCCATCGGTGCGGTCGTCGGGGAAGTACAGGCTCACATCCTTGTCTGCAAGCCCGCAGAGTTCGAAAGCTAGATCTTTGCTGGCTTTCGTGAAGATAGCGACGTGTTCACGTCGGGGTCACTGAGGACAAGTTGAACAGCGTCGGCAAAGCCTTCGGTCTGTAACCTGCGACAGCTAGCGAGCTCGGTGTTGACCCCGGAGCGCCAGGATTTCACTGTGGGAAGGGTCCTGGGCCCCTTCGGCAGGGCCGGCAGGGGTCGCTTCGAACAGCCACTGTCGCCCGACCTGATGACAGACAGCTCCTTCGCCACCTCGGAGAGGGACTCGCCAAGCCTACACATGAAGAAACTACTCACGTCGGGAGAAGGTCCCGGAGACTGCTCGGCTGACTGTGGCCACGCTGGTGAAGCAGAAGACGGCGGTGGTAGGCGTTGGGGTGCCAGTCCAAGCCGACCGGCTTCAGGTTGAACCCTGGGTCTTTCAGCTGGCCGTGACACAGCAGCACGGCTGTCAGACTCTGGGGTTGCAGGGACTCGTAGCGGTACTTCAGGAGTTTCGACAATGCTGTGTCCAGGTCTTTAAGCTAGCCCTGACGCAGCAGCACAGCTGGCAGACTCTGGACCGCGAGGAAAACGAGGCGTTGCTGTTGCTCGTGCTGCAGGGTGGTGTGCTGCAGCGTGTTCCGGTGTAGCTGGGGTCGAAGGCATTCTCGCCAAGAACTCTGCAATTATTGCTTCATCTTCCCGGATCGTAATCGCCGTCATCGTCAAAGTCGGCCACACGATCGGACAACGAATCACAATCCAGATCAGGAACCGGAACATCTCTGGCTGCCATCGCGGGGGTGGATGGGAAGGGCTAAGGAGGGAATCGGAGACGCTAGGGGCGAGGGGCTGATAAGCTGCGGGAGCGAGCGCAGGCCTTTTGGGACCTCGAGCCAGAGTGCGGCGGCCCACGCTCTGTCTCGCACTCCTCCTCCATCCTCCTCCTCCTCCTCCTCCTCCTCCTCCTCCTCCGCCCCCTCCTCCTCCTCCTCCTCCTCCTCCTCCTCCTCCCTCCTCCTCCTCCTCCTCCTCTCCTCCTCCTGCCTCCTCCCCTCCTCCTCCTCCTCCTCCTCCTCCTCTCCTCCTCCTCCTCCTCCTCCCTCCTCCTACTCCTCCTCCTCCTCCTACTCCTCCTCCTCCTCCTCCTCCTCCTCCTCCTCCTCCTCCTCCTCCTCCTAAGCCCTCCTCCTCTCCCCCTCCTCCTCCTCCTCCTCCTCCTCCTCCTCCTCCTCCTCCCCCTCCTCCCTCCCTCCTCCCTCCTCCCTCCTCCCTCCTCCCATCCTCCCTCCTCCCTCCTCCTCCTCCTCCCCCCTCCTCCTCCGCCCTCCTCCCCTCCTCCCTCCCTCCTCCTCCTCCTCCTCCTCCTCCTCCTCCTCCTCCTCCTCCTCCTCCTCCTCCTCCTCCTCCTCCTCCTCCGCCTCCTTCCTCCTCCTCCCTCCTCTCTCCTCCTCCTCCTCCTCCTCCTCCTCCTCCTCCTCCTCCTCCTCCTCCTCCTCCTCCTCCTCCTCCTCCCTCCTCCTCCTCCTCCTCCTCCTCCTCCTCCTCCGCTCCTCCTCCTCCTCCTGCCCTCCCCTCGCCGCCTCAGCCTCCGCCTTCCGACTCCGCCTCCTCCTCCTCCCCTCCTCCTCCTACTCCTCCTCCTCCTCCTCCTCTTCCTCCTCCTCCTCCTCCTCCTCCTCCTCTCTCCTCCGCTCCTCCTCCTCCTCCTCCTTCTCGTCTCCTCCTCCTCCTCCTCCTCCTCCTCCTCCTCTCCCCTCCTCCTACTCCTCCTCCCCCTCCTCATCTCCACCTCTCCCTTTTCTTCCTCCTCCTCCTCCTCCCTCCTCCTCTTCGTCCTACTGCTCCTCCTCGTCCTGGCTTCAGCCACCCCTCCTCCTCCTCCCCCTCCTCTACCCCTCCTCCTCCTCCTCCTCCTCCTCCTCATCATCATCATCATCATCATCATCATCCTCCTCCTCCTCCTCCTCCTCGTCCTCCGCCTCCTCCTCCTTCTCCTCCTCCTCCTCCTCCTCCTCCTCCCGCGTGCGTGTCGGATCCCAACCACCCTCGGACAAATCCCAACCGAATTGTACGGAACTCAACAAGCACAGAAATGCAAACTGGTATCAAAAACCCCATGTCGAACAGTCTCACATTAGGAATCAACGTAAGAACCGTTCAAAGGCGACCCAAATACCATCCGACCTCTCACATGCGTACTTCTTCCTACAGCATAACATTGGCGAATGCCCGAGGTGGGATTGGTACAAAATGTCGGTCTAAGTAGTCGATGCTCCCCCCGCCCCTTCCCCCTGATTTCCTCCACACATGCCCCCGAATTACCCCCGAGCGAGGAGGACGATCGGCGAGCGTGGCGAAGAGGTGACCGCACTTCCTTTGGGGGAAGCGGCTCCTGAGGGAAACGGGTCCTGGACCCCTGGGGGCATTCCCCCAGCACGAGTTCATCCTGAGTCGTTTTCTGACAGCCCCGGGGCCCGTGGCCCCGGGGCCCGTGGAGGGCCCCGAGGACCGACAACGGCGAATAACTTCAGGACCCGTCTCCCCCAAGGCGCCCCCTATCCCCGAGCGAGGAGGACGGACGGCGACCGTGGCGAGGCGGTGCCGCACTACCACGAGCCTTGTGGTGCATCTTCGGGGGACCTCGCCTGTCCCATCGCGCCGGCCGTCCGTGTCGCATCCATGTCGAGCGCCCCGCATCCGCGTCGAATCCACGTCGAGTCCGCGTCGAACCCACGTCGGGGAACAGAGGAGCACAGCCGCTCACGGGGCAGGAAAGACCCCCCGAAGATGCCATGCAACGAGCCGTCTTTTGAGGGCCGGGCCGGGCGCGCGTTGCGCCGCCCGCGCCGCCGCCGCCCGTCGCCGAGGAGGAGGGAGGAGGAGGAGGGAGGGGAGGGGGAGGAGGAGGGAGGAGGGAGAGAGGGAGGAGGAGGAGGAGGGAGGAGGAGGAGGAGGAAGGAGGGGAGGAGGAGGAGGAGGAGGAGGAGGAGGAGGAGGAGGAGGAGGAGGAGGAGGAGGAGGAGGAGGGAGGAGGAGGAGGAGGAGGAGGAGGAGAGGAGGAGGAGGAGGAGGAGGAGGAGGAGGAGGAGAGGGAGGAAGGAGGAGGAGGAGGAGGAGGAGGAGGAGCCCCCCCCCCCGCGCGGCGAAGGAGCCGCCGCCCGAGAGGCTCCCCGGGGGGGCGGCGGGCCGGGAGGTCGCCGCCACGGGCCGGGGCCGGGCCCCCGCCCTTGCCCCGCCCCCCGCCGGGGGTCCCCGGACGACCTCGGGGAGGGAGGGAGGGAGGGAGGGAGGGCCTTTTCTCCCTGGGCTTCGGCCTCTTCGGGGCCCGCCGTGGGGCCCCCGGTCTGTCAAGCGTGGGGGCAGGGCGCAAGGCTAGCCCCAGGGAAAGCGTCGGGATCTCTGGGGCCGCGGATTGAGAAAGACATGCAGGGCAGTATTTAATGCATGGGATGCTTAAAAAGATTGGATGTTCCATACGTGATTCATGCATCCATGAATGTGTGCATGAACCCATCGTTGTTCTTGATCTTGAATCCCTGCATGTTTCATACATGATCCGCACGCGGAGCATGTACTAAAAACGGCACTGCACTGAGGATGTCTGGGTCGGGAGGCTTCCGAATGTTGCCAAAGGTCCTCTTGGGTGGTCTCCATCGGCTGCGCCTCGTCGAGGGCCTTCCAGGGGAGGCCGGGATCGTACCGAACGGCCGCGGGAGGTGAGGCCCGAAGGCCACCGGTCCTCCAGACCCCCAACGCATTGGGAAAGCAAGGTTCCAACTTGTCGCCGTTTTCTGCCTCTGGAGGGCAGGCTCTGGAGAAGAGTCGGGATTTCACGGGGGGGGGGGCGTACTGACAAAAACCGAGACATCGGATCTCTGGGTCTCCTGCTTGGTCTCGCGCAGCAGGTCGCAGGCGGAGTCGAGCTGCGTGTGCGCGAGGCAGAAACGCATGATCCTGTCCGCCTGGACGTCCGTGGCGCAGCGGAGGCACGCGGCCCTGAGAGCCGGTTGACTCGCGCAGAGCACACCTGGAATCGAAGCACGCAAACCCGCACACACCCACACACACACACACACACACACGCACACACACACACACGCACCCGCACCCGCACACACACACACACACACACGCACGCACGCACGCACGCACGCACGCACGCACGCACGCACACACACACACACGCACACACACACACACACACACACACACACACACACACACACGCACGCACGCACGCACGCACGCACGCACGCACACAGCACACACACACACACACACACACACACACACACACACACACACACACGCACCGTTGTCGATGGAGGGGCGCTGTACGCACAATGCAGAAAAGTGAGCGTGCACGACGGCATGCACAAGCGAGAGCAAGCAGGAACGCACAAGGGACAGTGCGGATGTGCGGCAGCCCTGCAGTATGGCCCAGAAACGGAGGCGGATACCAGGCTGAGGCAACAGGACAACAGGTATGGGCAGCGGCCAGGAGACAATACGGCGGTGTGGTGGCCAGACCAGAGGCGGAACAGGGCAGGATGCAGGACTAGAGGCCTCCTAGATGGGATTGGAATAGATGGGGTCGGAGGATCGCGCCGCATCGCCGACACACCAGCGATGCATTAGCGATGCATCAGCGATGCATCGGCGATGCACCGGCGATGCTGCAGCGTCGACATGGGCGGTGCATCGGCGACGTCAACGCGGAGCAAGTCGGGCTCCACATCGAGCCGCATCGCCGATGCATCGGCGCTGCGGCGCGACCCTCCGACCCCATCCACTCGGACCCCATCTGGGAGGCCTGGGAGGACAGCGGAAGCGGCGACGCCGGGCCCGGTGAGGAAGGGAAGGCTGGCAGCGACAGCTTCCGGAAGGCAACAAACCAGACACGCTCCGGGGAGGTGCAAGGCGGCGAGCGCCAGGTGGTTGCGGCGCTGGCCCGCGAGACCGGGCACGCACACACACACACACACACACACACACACACACACACGCACGCACGCACGCACGCGCGCACGCACGCACGCACGCACACACGCACATACACACACACACACACACACACACACACACACACACACACACACACACACACACACACACACACACACACACACACACACACACACACACGTTTTACATACGCGTCGAGAGCCCCACGACAGAAAAGGGGGGGAGAGGAGGGAAAAGGAAAACAGCCCCTAACTACTCACCCTGGCGCCCTGGCCACTCGGCCAGGCGCGCCGCGAGCGCCACGCGCCAAAAAGCTTGGCTGGCCCCCACCGGCGCGCGCCGCGAGGTCCGCGTTCCCCTCCCTGTCGCTCTGGCCGCTGGCGTAGCCGTAGCAGTTCAGGAAGTGCACGGCGCGACCGAGGCCGAAGTGCACCGCGACATGCTGCAGGCGGCCAGCGCGATGCCCACAGAGGCCTATCATGGGCTCCGGCCGTGCATGGCACTTGGCGGGGGCGTGTGCCATGGCCAGCAAGCGCTCGCCATCCACCTCCTGCCCAGGGTGCAACGACAGGCCCCTTGCCCGAGCGGCGGCGGCGGCAGACTCTGCATCCGAAGACGGGATGCGCGCTTTCTGTGCATGCCACACGCACACACCTTTGGCGGTGGAGGCTTGGCGCGCGGCGCCGTGGCCGAGTAAGTGGAAACGCTGAAACACTAAGCGCGCGGTCGCGACCGGGTCCTCCAGTATCGCTTAGGATCGAAACACCTACCGACATCAGCCATCTGGGCGTGGATGGCGGGAACGAGGCACGCCAACCGGAAGGCCCTGCCCGAACGGCGGCACGAGCAGCGGAGGTATGGCATCAGCGCATCTGGGCGCTAATGGCAGGGAGAAGGCACGCCAGCCGAAGAACCTGCCCAATCGGCAGCAGGAGGTGGGGAGGAGATGACGTACGTGATACAATGTCAGCACGAAAAGCTGAGCCACGCCAAAGCAGACAACAGATGAGAGAAAGCCAACAAAGGTAAGCACCGGGACGAACGCTGCAGGGCAAAGGCCCGTGGACGAAGGGAGGAACGACGGCGCGGCCCTGGGCCTAGGGCTGCGCGCGCCGGCCCAGCCCGCCACTCGGTTGCGGGGAGAAGCAGCCTCCTCGGCCGGACCAGTGGAGCTGGCACGGGAGGGGGCCGGAGGAAGTACACCATGGAGAAACTTGAGGGGGACGGTGTCGACAAACTGGCTGAGGCATTCAGCTGAGAAGCCGCTGGGGCCGGCTAGGCACTGGTGGTGGAGTGATCGCAGCTTTGCCCAGCCAGAACCGCCGCTGCATGCGAATGCAAGCGGCGCTCGTCCGCCCCTCGTGGAGCCTCGCGGAGACCTGGGCCGCCGAGGCGCGCCGCGCCTCGCTGGGCGTGGGAGGGCCGGCCCGGGCTTCGCCCCCGGTGCGGAGGGCGGAGGGCGGAACACCGGTGGTGGCAGCGCGGGGCAGGCAGCGGGCAGGGCGACCCTGGGCCAGTGGCCCCGCCCGCCAGGGGGGCGAGAGGCGGGCCGCTCGCGGGCAGCAGCAACCCCGCCGCCAGGCCTGTGGACTTGCCACTATGAAGGGGCCCTGGGACACGAAAATGAATACACACAAATAGACAGATTCCCCATGTTTTCCTATATTTTCTGGGTTTTTGTCTTCCCCGCCACTTCCCATATTTTCCCAGATTTTCTGGGGAGTCGACGATTAATTGTGTCTGTGTGTTTCTTCCCCTCCTGACACTGGAAAGGGCCGGAGAGGGTGCGCCATGCAGAAACTGGAGCGGAAGGGAGCCATCGCCCCGAAGGCCATGCCACCGCGGGCGAGGTGGACTGGCAGGAAGGGCGTGAGGTCGTGCGTCGTGGAGGCCGCCGGGAAGGCAGCCAGAGGGAGTGGTGCGGAGGCCGTCGGGGAGGGCGTCGGGGTGGGCGTCGCCGGGCGGGGTGACAGGCGAAGCGGTAGCGACGTAGGAGATCCACCGCAACTCCATGTCCCAGCACGCTGCCTACATCCATTGCCACCGCTGTCCGAGGAAGCATGCGGCGGCAACGTGGAAGGCGCCTGGGATTGGGTTGAGTGTGGAAGAAGCGAGGGGGGCAAGGCGGAAAAAGGTAGCGGAAGTCGTAAGGGGCAGTTCGCCGTCAAGACGGTCTTCAGAAATATGACCGTACGAGATGGACACCGTGTCGGGTCGGTGGGCCACCGATACGGTGGTTGGGTCTCAGGGGCAGGAGACCCCTCTGCGATAGAAGCCTTAGCCTCCGCCGTGTCGACTACAGCAGCAAGTCCGAAGCCAGCTTCCTGGAAGTGCGGGCGCGGGTCGTTGAACTCCAAACAGAGATCCTCAGAGGAGTCGTCGTTCGCGTCGAAGCAACCCGTGGAAACCTCAGCATCGACGCAAGCTGCGGGGATCTCAGCGTCCACGCAAGCTGCGTGAACCCCCTCCGTCGACGCAAGCTGCGAGAACGTCAGCGTCGACGCGCGCGGCAAAAAAACCTCTGTCGACGCAAGCTGCGGGGACCTCCGCACCGCCGCAAGCTGCGGGGATCTCAGCGTCCGCGCAAGCTGCGGGAGCACTTCCGTCGACGCCAAATGGCGGGAACCCCTCCGTCGGCGCGAGCTGCGGGACCCTCCGCGTCGACGCAAAAGCTGCCAGAGGCGCATCCATGCAGGCATGCCCGTGGCCACCCTCGGGCTCGGAACGGAGCTCCTCGTCGGATGCCGGGGAGGCCTCACACAAATAAGGCCAGGGAGCTCCACCAAACGTGGGGAGGAGGAGGAGGAGGAGGAGGAGGAGGAGGAGGAGGAGGAGGAGAGCGCCGGTGGGAGGCGAGTCGGAGGAATCGGGTGAAGCACGGGCCTGGGCGCGGGGTCGGGCGTCGGTCGTGGCATCGGGCTGGAGTTCGGGCTGAGGGTCGGGCGGAGCGTCGTCGTGGGGCAGGGCGCCGAGTCGCTCACCCTGAGCGTCGCGCGCAGCGTCGGGCGGAGCGCCAGGCGCGGCGTCGGTCCAGCGGGGGGAGGCCCATGGCGAGGCCACATGGGTGGGATGGGCCCCATTGACAACACGCCGCAGCGCACATGAGGCGTCATCACACAATGCAACACCTGGGCCTGGAGCAAAGGCAGAAGGGAGACACGGCCCCCTCCGAATGCCTTGTCACGAGATCCACGCCCATTCCCTCCACCTCTCGGCGGAGTTGAACGTGTGCGCGCCCCGCCACGCACGCCCAGCACGCCGGCATGGGTGAGACGGCTACACGGCGGGCGTGGGCGCTGCCCCGGGCCAAACCACTGGTGAACACGGGCGCCAGCTCCAGCAAGCCGCCGAGGCAGGCGCGCGGCAGTGGCCACACCCGAGCCCAAGTGGGCCCGCACGCACCTGGAAGGCCCCGCGGGCCCCGGCGGCCGGCCGCCGCGGCCGGTCACGAAGGCGACCCTGGCGGGCAAGCCAGCGGGTAGGCCCAGACCGCGACGGCAGACGTGCGACCTGGCCGAACCAAGAAATCTGGCCCCAGAGACCCAAACCGCGCAGCCAGGGCGGGCGCCATCCTTCACTCCCTCCCTGTCCACTGCTCCCCCTCCTGCGCATCCTACTCCCCAACATTATCCTGATCATCATCCTCATCAGCCTCCCCATGACAATCATCATCACCTTAGTCATACCCCAAATCATCTTTCTTCTCCCCCTCAGAAGCCAAAACAGTTGGGTCCTCAGCACGGAGGCAAGCATCTGCAGCGGTATGGCTAGCAGCTGGCTCTCCATGGAGTTCAGCATGTCTGAGTCGCACGTTTGTTTGGTTGGGGAATGCGAGGGTAGGGGGCGAGCGGGAGAAAGGACTGGGGAAAGGAGAAGAGGGAGGAAAACTGACGAAAAGTTGGAGAGGAGAGATGGGAGATGATCGGTTTGAGATGGAAGAGACAAAAGAGTGGACGGGAGAGAGGCGCAAGCTGGGTGCGCTCGCGCCACATCTGACATCGTAAACCTCCCGACCACATCCTCCCAGTGCGTGGAGTCCTGTTCTATGGGCTGGTTAAGGTGTCCCAGAAGACCTTCATCATCAATGCGCGCCCTTCCCAACCGCAAGATGTTCCCGACAGCCCTCGTGTGCGAATCGGGCGCCAAGCTTCGCTGGACAGCTAAACGGCGTGACAGACGGCCGCTGCCACGAAAACATCAAACACCATCGTCAGCCCACGGACGAGGAGCGGGAGCAGCGGGAGGGAGAGGAGCAGCAGAGAAATGGGGGGGGAGTGGAGGAGTGCGTCGCATGCGTGTCCTGATGGTTCACACCGCCCCCAGCCAGGAGAGGCCGATCCATGTTCCAAGTGTCGCCCAGATGTTGTTTTTAACAACACACACACACACTCACACACTCACAACACAACAACATCAACAGCAACCTGCGGTGGCGCAACGCCATTGCGCGCGGTGGCGACGCACGCGAGCATGGCGCTGTTCGGAAGGCGATCCGGAGCGCACTGGGCCGCGGAGTAGCCCCAAACAGTGTCCCAAACTGTGCGCCGGGTATGTAGTGTTCCCCCGAGCGGCTCGCGGCCGACGCGCGTCAGCCCCTGGGTCGGGCACCCCCGCTGTGCTGACACCGCGCGAGTTCCCAGAGGTCAACAATTTGGGGCACGATTTCGTGCACTATCTGGGGCACCACGATCTGGCGCAATATTGTTGTGGGCGCGCGTTTGGCGGGCAAACGTGGGCTCGACTAACTCTCCTTCTCTCTCTCGCCCCCCCGCGCCCACCACCAAGCACTTCCGTCGCAGCAGAACGTCACCTTCCCTCATCTCTCCACTCTGGTAATGCTGCTCGTACAACTTGTAAGACGATTGTTTGGCGAAAACCCTGGAAGAGTTTTCGGAAAGTCGACAATGTGAACGCTGGCGTGAAGCGAGCTGGCATGGCCCGCCCAGTCGCTTACACAACTAGGTCTCATCCACGGGCTAAGGTCCTCAACAAGCAAGACAAAAGCCCCAATGTGGCAACAAAGTTAAGCCCATTGTTTGCTGTGCAGCCGGAAGGAGAGGCTCTTGCGCAAGAGCGGGGAACATTGAAGGCGGACGAGCAGGAGTAAGGAGGAGAGGAGGATGGGGAGGAGGAAGAGAAGCAGGAGCAGGAGCAGGAGTATCAGAGAAAGGCGGGAGGGGGAAATGAGAAGTCCCTGGTGGACATTGTAAAGGGAAGGAGGAGGCACAAATACTCGCCAGAGAGGTTGTAGCAAGGAACGAGTGGAGCAAGAGGAAAACGGATAGGGGAAACGGCAAGCTGGGCGCGCGCGCGCTACATTCCTACCCCTCCTCAACCTGCCCTCCGCCCCACTCGGAACAACACCCCCGATGTCTAGTCCGATGCGTTTCTCCTGCATCACAGCGTCTTCCAGCTTAAACGACACTGCTGCGAGCATCCGCAGATGCAGGCACAACTCCAAGTCCTCGAACCTCCGCGGCATGTCGACGAAGCACTTCACTTGCCTCTGCACAAGCGGCGCGTCGAACCACACCCAGCAAAGTTCCAGCACTGAAGCGCCACTGGCCGGCTGGTTCTGAGGGCCGTCTCCATAGCTAGACTCCACATATGGATCCGCTCAGACCTGTCCGATGGAGACCCATAGTGCGAAAGAGCTTCATCAAAGATTGAACTCCCGTGGGCTGATCGGCTGGTCTAGATGTGCCGTTGCCAAGCCAGGCCGCGGTGAGACCCCAAGTCCAATGCAGCCCCTGCGGCTGCGGGGGCGGCCCCTGCGCGCTGATCAGACGCTGAACCGCGACACATACACACACACACACCAGGGAAGGCCGGCGCAGGCCCCTGAAAGCTTTAACCTGTCATGCCGCCCCAGCTGGCGCCTGCGAGTCGGTGGCTCGCTGCGCCTCCGCTTGGACCACAAGCGATCCGCCCTGGATCCAGTTGCTTCTTTGGCGCTGCAGCCGCCGGTGCTTGAAAACGCACTGGGGAGCAAGTTGCCGCCTGGACGAAGAGCCATCGAGAAGGCAGTGCCGCGACTCGCTGCCGTGACGGTTTGCGCCCCAGTGTCCCTTGTCGGTGCCAGTCGCATATGACTTGGCACGCAGTACTCCGCTGCAGTTGCATCACGATAAGATGCTGACGGCCGAGGCCCCCGAGAAATTGGCCCGTCGCGCTCTGCCAGCTGCATCGCCTTCCGTTCCAAACCGCTGCGTTGAGTAGGGCACCAAATGGCTTGCAGTGCGGCTGGGGGCAGGGAGTGCAGCCGGAGCAAGCAGAGGCCCACCGGAAATCAATTCCCCAGCCCCGAAAGACGGAGTCGTTGAGATCTGCAATCTCAAGGGATCGAAGTGGAACCGTACGCTGCCCAGCAGCACCTGCTCTCCCGATCTGGGAGCATCTGTCGTCACCAGCTGTTCGGCTGCGCCGGACTCCTCCCCCAGGGGTCCGTTGGTGACCGCTTGCCACAAGGCTTCGTCAAAATCGAGCTCGTCGCTGCGCCCCTGCGCTGTCCAGTCCTGCTGTTGGCTTGCGCCCCACCAGCTACCCATCGGTTTTTGAATTGATGCTGTGCGCGTAGTGAATGCGATGAGCAGGTTCGAGTTGCTTGCCCTGTCAACAGCCAAGTCCGCCTGTTCACATTGGGGGGTTGTGAGCCTGTACTCCAGTGCTTTGAAACGCTCTTCAAGATGAAAGATATCAGCCGCTGTTTGTTCGTTCAGCTTGCGTTGTTCTAACATAAACATGTGGATCGCATCCATTGTCTGCGCGTACTTTGTCATCCCACCCCTGTGGTTGGACAGACCACCGACCGCTGAAGCGGGCGAGGCTTCGGTCATGACCTTGGAAATGGCCGTTTGCTCCGCAGCACTTGCCGCGCCAGCATTTTCGATGGAGGCGTACGAGCTCGGAACCGTCGCTGCTCTTGCACCGTGGCCAAGAGAAAGTTGATTGAAAGCTGGTTACCTTGCGCCGGAGTAGGTGGGGGTTGTTCTTGTTGGTCCATGACCTGCATGGCGGCGCGGTCGTGGACGGCGGCTGCCATCCGACTACCCCTTGGAACACATTGCACTTGCCCGAGTTGAAATGTCCCCTCCGGCTCTGGTTAGGAATGTGGCATGCAATGCATGCGTTGGCTCTTCTGCCTCCTTTTGAATCTCCCCGCACTGGAGACCCAAGTGAATGGCTCAGTTACCCGGAGTTCTGGGAAAGGTGGACCAAGTCTTGGCGGTCCGTTGCCCTGCAGCTGTCTGCACTGGTCCTGGTTGGGGTCGTGCTACGGCCAGCTCTGGTTCTTGCAAAAATCCTAGCGTCGAGGGGAAACACAGGTGGGGTTGAGGCATAGGTATGGTTGGAAGGAAAGCCGCTCCGAACAGCCCCTGGAAGAAGGAAACGCATCGAACAGGAGCATCCATCTGGGCCCGCTCCCCAGCCCCACCTTGGGATAACCCTCCCTCTACGAACCCACGATATCATCGACCTAGGGCACTCGGCCGGGTCCGGCGCAATTCCGCGGTTTTACAAATCGGTTCCGCATGCGCCTGTCTGCGTCTGCCGGGGCAGACAGCCCTTGTTGCGGGCCCCCAGAAAAGGAAGCCAGGCCTGGGGCCGACACGGCAACAACGGTCATGTCGTCTACAGCTCCCTTGGCGAAAGCTGCTGTGCGCTGCCTCATCATGGCAAACCCACTGCCCAAAGCAAGTCCGACGGCACTAGCGACGCCTTGGGTGGTCACCGCGGTCTCCCTCCAAGAAGCCAGTTGTCGTGCCAATTTCGTGGGCCATCTCTGCCGCTGGGAGTCTGTGTTATGTTGCTGTACTGGGCCATGGCCCACAGTGAGCACTGGTCACAGAAATCGTTTTCGCCAACCACCTCGACCTTCAAGCAACTTTGGCGACCTGACTGGTAGCACGCTGAGCGCACATACAGGTCGTGCGCGGCAATTCTGGCACACCTCGAAGTAGAGCGTCGTGGTCTTACGCCTCTCGATTTGCAGCCCCCAAGGGCGCGCGAGTACATCCCAAGCGTTTGAGCTCATAACCCTCGAAGCCAGATCTGTGGTAGGGTTGGGTACTGCTGAAAACCCATGGCCCAGCACCAGGCCGTACGGAACGAGCGTGGTTGGAGGTTCCCCGACGTCCCCTGATAGGTTGTGGCCACAGACCATACGTCTTGAGACAAACCAGACGAAGATGCGGGATGAGGGTAGGCAAACGGATGAATTAAGGTGTTTAGTCTCTGGGCCTGTGGCAGTATTAAGTCAAAGCAGTTGGAGCTGAGAGACCCCTGGTCCAGAGACTCGTCCGCCCCTGCTCATACCCAGGGCAGGGCGATGACACCATATGGGGCGTTCCAGAGAGGACCTTGCCTTCGAGGACCGAAGGAGTTGTCATTTCTGCCTCGGCGGAAGGGCGGCGGAGGGCTGCCAATGCATGCTGTTGCTCTGCCGACGCTGGCCCCTCCCTCACCGTGCTGCTCTCCCGGCCACCCCCTATCGACTCCCTGGGGCGCCGACCGGCAGGGCGAATCTGACTGTCGACACCCCATGGGCGCACGACTGCCAAACGAAATCGCGGCACCGACGGGTCGAAAGCATTGCATAGCATATCAAAGCGTCGTGCACACAATTGGCCACACAGAAAATCTCCAAAGGAGAAAAAGAGAGGAGAAGGAGGAGCGGAAGGCAGGACGCAGGATCAGGAGGAGGCTGCGGGAAGCTCCCAGGATGCTGGGAATGCGAAGCCTCTTGGAGCGAAAAACATCGGGGATGGAATGAAGGTCGGCAATCGCAGAGGCGTCCCCGAAAGAGGCCCAGAGTCGAGACGAGGCCTGGAATCCCAGGCGGCACCTGGGGAGAAAGACAAAGATGAAGGAGCAGAAGAAGGATTGGAGGAGGAAGGAGGAAAAAGAAACAAGTGAGAAAAAGGAGGAAGAGAACGGCAGGGAGAAGGTTGAGACGAGGTTGGTGGAAAAAAGGACGAGGAAGCAGGAAGCGGGGCTCCTCCTCCGCAAACCTAGCCCTCCTCTCCCTATTCCTCTCTCTTCCCCGCGGCTACACGCAAGAGTGACCCTAAACCCAAGGCGAGAGTGACCTTTGGTGCGCGGCTTGCCGATGATTGCATGCGATGCGGAAGTAGCGCAGTGCGTGCTCGAGCTGGGCCACCTCCGCGCCCCCCTGAAAATCGCGCACCGGGGATCCTTCTGGCAAAGGGGCACTCTCACGTGCTGTCGAATCCCTCTCCCCCCCCAACGAGAGCCCAGGACAAGCCCACCCAGGGCTCCCGAGAAGTGGTCACCCACGTACATGCAGATCTCCTCCTGCATTCTCGGGTACCTCTCGAGGGTGTGGTGCGTGAGAGCGGCGATGCTGTTCTGCGGGGTCAGGCAGGGCTCCTGGGCAGGGCGCGGGGCCAGAGGGCGAGCCCGGTCGGAGAGAAAGAGGTGCCGCTGGCTGGACATGTGGCCCGCTCCAGAAACCCTGGTGGGCCGATAGTGATGTCGTCTGCTCCTCCTCCTCCTCCTCCTCCTCCTCCTCCTCCTCCTCCTCCTCCTCCTCCTCCTCTCTCTCCTCCTCCTCCTCCTCGTCCTCCTCCTCCTCCTCCTCCTCCTCCCCCTCCTCCTCCTCCTCCTCCTCATCCTCCTCCTCCTCCTCCTCCTCCCTCCTCCTCTCCTCCTCCTCCTCCTCCTCCTCCTCCCCCTCCTCCTCCTCCTCCTCCTCCTCCTCCTCCTCCCTGATCGGGGTGCGTTGCAGAATTTCCAGAGCATCCAGCGGCACAGCCTGGTGCGGAACATCAGGTCATGTGGGAAATCCTGGAGATTTGGGGAATATGGGACTGTAGCACTCTCATGACCTCTTGCTCCTCTGATCTGATCTTAGGTCGGGCATGTCCTCCTATCGGCGGATTTTGAAGAAAAATCAAAATAGTCAAGAAAAAACGTCCCTGTACCATGTTTTACGATTGTTTGATTTTCCTCCTGCAGAGGGACGCGCCCGACTCAAATATGATCCCAAAGATACTGCCCACCTCTCGGGGACGCACTTCTTACTCTGGCCAGCGTCCGCTGGTCCTCCGCGGGCCACATGCCGGCAGAGGCGCCCTCGTTCTACCCTCGCTGGCCTCCGCCCTTCCACCGCTGAAGAGACGGCAACCTTCCGATCCCCTCGAGGGCGAGGCCCTCTCTGGGGCGCCTTGTGCGCTGCAGGCTTGGGCCGCCGCAGAGGCTCCCTGAACTGCCGCTGGACGGCGGGCGGCCCGGCAGGCCCAAAGCAAAGACAGACGGAGGACCGGCGCGAGGGCCACGAGCGGCCAGAGCTCGAGAGGGAGCAGGAGTGGACCGGACCGGGGACAGCGAGGGGAGGGGGCGGGGCTCAACCTGGACAGCGTGGCCCCCCCTCGTCTTGCTTTACGCTCTCCCTCGCTCTGCCTTCGCTCCGCCTCCTGCTGCAAAACGAAATCAAAACGGGCACTGCCCACGAGATCGCCAAAAAACACCGTTTGGGTCGAGCCCGCGGGCTGGGACGCCGCGAGGGGCGGCCGCGCGGACGGGGCCCGCGAGAGAAGTGGGCGGCAGCGCGGTGCCGCACCAGGGCAGGAGAGCCGACGGCCCGCGGTGGTCGAGGGCAGCGGTAGGGGCCACGTGCGAACCCTGCCCCTACCCCCCACGATTTCTGAGGGGGAGGGTGGGGTTCGATTCGCTCGGGAGCTCCGGAGCGGAGTGAACCCCACCCTCCCCCTCAGAAATCGTGGGGGGTAGGGGCAGGGTTCGCACGTGGCCCCCTAGCAGAAGGGCTGGCGAGGGAGCACACAGGCAGCGGCGCACGCGGGCAGCGGTACGGCCGGGCAGGATGGTCCGTGGTCAGAGGAAGCCGGCGGCAGCGCAGCGCCTCCAACGGGCCGTCGCTCATCGTCGCCATCCTTCACGCCTCCGCTAGGGGATTGAAAAAAACGAGGCGGCTGGGTGAACAGAGGCGAAGAAAGCACGTCTTGCCCTCTGGGATCCTCCCCAGAAGAGTTTCTCATCACGGAGAGGCCGGAGAGCGGGGACAGAGTGGTCCTCGGAGGCAAAGGTTGCTCACCAATAAACTTTTCGTTGGACCAAGGCGATGCAGTAGGCTGCGCCGCGCGCCGCTCTGAGCGTCTCTGGGCCTCACGGGCCTGAATGCTTACGGTTGGGGCTCACGCGTGAGTCGATGATGTCTCCCACCATGCACTCGCTATCTAGTGACCACCTACCAGACCACCCCAACCCAACCCGAAGTCCCCCGTTTCGGGTTCGGGGGGGGGGCGGGTTCCGCATCTTCTTCCCATATTCCAGGATGCCCCCCCACCTTAGGAGGCCTGGAAATGGGCACCAACACCAACACAGGGGGTTGCCTCCACAGGAAGACGATCCTGGATTTCGGTGCTGGTGGTAATACTTCGGCCACCTCGGAAGCCAGAATATTACCACCATCACCGAGATCGGGATCGTCTTCCCCTGGTGGAGGCACACCGCCGATCTTGGTGTTGGTGTCAACCTCTAGGCCTGCGACACCTCAGAATGGAGGGCAACCTGGGGCCTTCGAGGCGGGTTGGGGTGGCTTGGCGGGCAGTGACCCATGACGTGCGCTGCCTGCCTGCTCTGCGGACCGGGCGGGCCACCAGCAGGCCCGCGCAAGGAGCGCATGCTTACCGCGCACGCCATCCCCCCCCCCCCCTCGTCCGAGCCCCTCGAGGCGAGGAGGAGGAGGAGGAGGACGAGGAGAAGAAAGCGGAGGAGGGGGAGGAGGAGGAGGAGGAGGAGGAGGAGGAGGAGGAGGAGGAGGAGGGAGGAGGAGGAGGAGGAGGAGGAGGAGGAGGGGAGGAGGAGGAGGGGGAGGAGGAGGAGGAGGAGGAGGAGGAGGAGGAGGAGGAGGAGGTGGAGGAGGAGGGGGAGGAGGAGGAGCCACACTCCCGGGCTTGATCCCGAGCGTGCGGGGGCGGGCAGGCCCACAGGGCGGACAGCCCAGGGGGGGCCTCCCCCCCGAAGCCACGCAGGCTGGCCGGCCATGCCTGGCAAGATGTTTGCGCTGCGTTGGGGCGGTGGCGAGTGCCCCGGACCCCATCTCGCTTCGCTACCATCTCGAACCCGCCGTGCCTGCCAAAGCTGAGGCACGGGCGGATGCGCCAGCCTAGGAGGGGGCGGAGAAGGAGGAGGAGGAGGAGGAGGAAGGCAACGACGACGTGGAGGACGACGATGACGAGAGTGAACGGGAGGACCAGGAGGGATGATGGGGCAGGGAGGTTTTGTTTCTCCAAGGTTGCACTCGCCGAGCATACCCTATCCAATCAAGAAGCTCTGATTTGCTGCGCCAGGGGTCCGCTGGGGCAGCCTCAAAAGGCGGATGATGAGCACAGCCCCGTGCTGGGGCGCTGGGGTCGCCAGGCCTGAACGTGTGCTGCTGGTCGCGAAGACGGAGCAGGGGGGGCGGGGGAAGAAAGAAGGGCGGGAGGAGCAGGGAGAAGGGCGTACGAAGTCGACTGGGCCATGGGCGAGGAGATCGAGGAGGTCGAGATGAGGGCGAGGAAGTACAGAAAATCGCAATCGAATGCGACATCGAGTGCGAAGCGCGGAAATCGAGAAAATCGAGATGAAGGCGTGCGCAGTCGACGGGGCCGCTGCGACCCAGAGGGCCGCCGCAGCTGCGGCAGCCCCGTGCGTCTCAGCGGGCGCCAGCAGCATCTGGACGAACAGGGACGCGGAGGCAGTGGCTCTGGGAGGCAGGTCGGTAGGTACGACGCGGCTTTAGCCTCTGCGCCGATCACTGGGTGCCTCGTACTTCCACCAAGGCCAAAGCAAGAACGGCGCGTGTCCACCGCGGAGCACCAGACCACCTCGACCTCATGACCTGTGAAACACGACAGCGAAGCTGCGCTGCAGCGCGAGGCGGAGGATAGCATGATGGCCGCTGAGCTGCAACGGCGATGGTCCTAAGCGTCCTAGGTTACAAAAAGCCGCGAAACGACTGAGAAGCGCGGCAGAGAAACAAGATCGGCTTCGTGACCCAAGGCCCGAGGCCAGAACAGTATAAGGCACACAAGAGACCAGAAGAGGAGGAGGGAGGAGGAGGAGGAGGAGGAGGAGTCGCCAGCGCCACCAGAGCGGAGGGAAAAAGCTGCGTGGCAGACGCACAATACGTATGTACCCCCTCTGACGCCACTGTCAGTGATACCGCACACACATGCGGAGCAACGAGCCGCAAAGAGACAGAGAGAGAGAGAAAGAGAGAGAGAGAGAGCACAAAAAGCGTGAGAGAGAGAGAACAAAAAAGACAAACAAACAAAAGATAGAGAGAGCGAAAAATAAAAACAACTATATAAATATAACACGTAGGTTTAAAGAAGGAAGGAAGGGAGAGACCGGGGAGAGAGAGAGAGAGAGAGCGAGAGAGAACGGCAAAAACAGGATGTGCGACGACCCTGTCTAACTGCTCACCCGAAGCGAAGGGAGGCACCCAGCAACGAAACACCAGGCGGCCCAGAGCAAACAGAGTGGGCGGACGGAACGGCGTCGGCCATGACAAGGAGGAAGCACACACGCACACACACACACACAGCGCAGTAAAGCAGGACAGCACCAGGAGAAAACAGGAGGGGCGAGACTGGGGGGAGGGCCCGCTGGGTGCGAGAGGGGGGAGGAGCAAGAGGGCGGAGAGAGGGGAGACAGTGCAGACCACGGGGGGGGGCCGCGGGAGGCAAGAGAAGCCCGAAGCAGGCCAAGGGGCCCGCGGGGCGGCGGGGCGCGGGCAGCGGAGCGGCACGACGGGTGCGCGACCCGAGGGCCCCGGCCTCGCGCGGCCGAGCCCTCGCGCCCTCGGCGCGCTTCCCCGGGAGCCGGGCGTCGCCAGAGGCAGAGGTGCCCGTGGCCCCAGGGCGTCCCCCAGGGGGGGCACCCCCCGCGCGAGGCCCGCGGAGGGCCCCAGAGCAGCGCGAGACGCCGGGGGCACCCAGGGCCAGGAGCAGCTTCGCCGGACCTCCGACGCCGCGAGGTTTGTCGATGCGTGCTCGGCTGCACGCAGGAGTGGCCCCAGGCACGAGCGACGTTTGGTGCGCGGACTCAGGGGGCGCAAGGTGGCCAAATCCCAGCGCGCAAGCAGCCACTATCGCATCGCGCTCACCGATCGGGGGAACCCCTGTGAGCCCGCACCAAAGGTCATTCCGGCAAAGGGTCACTCTTCCGTGTGGTCGACGTGGGCCCCGGGGGCATCTCGAGCCTTCTCCAGGGGCCAGCTCTCTATCCCGAGCCGTCTTTTTGCCACGGCCCTGAGGCCCGAAACCAGCCCCCTGAGGGCCAAAACGGGCCGAACTCTCGACGACTGGGCTTGGCACCCCCCGACGGAGGGGGGCGCCTCTCCAGGCACGAGGTCGGAATGAGGCAGTCTTCCCCAACCCTCCTGTGTGTTGGGTCTTCGTTTTGCATCCGCAGCGCCGAGCGTCTCCTTCCTTCCTTCCTTCCTTCCTTCCTTCCTTCCTTCGTTCTGCCCCTCCTTCCTCCGCCTGTCCTTGTCGTAAGCACCATCCTTTATCGTCATCACCATCACCATCACCATCATCGACATCGTAATCGTCGTCATCATCCTCACCATCACCACATCACCATCACCACCACCACCACCATTATCCTCATCATCATCACCATCAACAGCATCATCATCAGCAGCGGCATATGCATCATCATCGTCATCATCATCATCATCATCATCATCATCATCATCATCAGCATCAGCATCATCATCAGCATCGTCATCAGAATCATCATCATCATCATCATCATCATCATCATCATCATCATCATCATCATCATCATCATCATCATCATCATCATCATCATCATCATCATCATCATCATCATCATCAGCGTCACCATCAGCAGCAGCAGCAGCATCGTGATCATCCTTACTACCATCACCGCCAGCATCATCATCATGATCAGCATCATCAGCATCATCATCATCATCATCATCATCATCATCATCAGCATCACCATGATGATCATCATAAGCAGCAGCAGCAGCAGCACCATCATAGTCATCATCATAATCATCATGAGCATCCTCAGCATCAGCATAAGCATCAGCATCACCAGCAGCATCGGCATCAGCATTAGCATCAGCATCATCATATGCGCCATCCGCATCATCAAATCGTCATGATCATCACCATCATCATCATCAGCATCATCAGCGTCATCATAAACAGAATCGGCATCAGCATCATCAGCATAAGTATCAGCATCAGCATTATCATCATCATCATCATCATCATCATCATCATCATCATCATCATCATCATCATCATCATCATCATCATCATCATCAACAGCAACATCATCATCACCTGTTACCACCATTGTCATCCTCATCACCTTTTCGCCACACCCCTCACACATCTCGTCCGCACATCGCCTCGGGTCCGTTTCGGCACACCCCTCACACGTGTCGTGGTCCACCATGGAGCTCCACCGAAGGCCCCAGTTGCACGGTTCGCAGACCGCCCCCCGACAATTTCGGCACACCCCTCACACGTTCCGTGGCCCCAGAGGGAGCTCCACCGAAGGCCCCAGTGGCTGCCTTCGCATGCCGCCCCCCGACCATTTCCGCAGACCCTCATACGTTTTGCGTCCCCATAGACAGGTCCCTGGCGAAACATTCAGGGTTACTGCAGATCCCTTCATGTGTTCTCGTGTATTGAGCGGTCCTGCTTGCAGTCGCCTCGTGTTCAAAGGAGGGTTGGGTTCTTCGCCAGGCTTATTGATTCGGGGTGTGACGCATGTTATCCAAGTGGGGAGCGTCGGGGGGGCCGGTAACGGCGGCTTCGACGTAGTAGCACCGCATAACGCATGACCTTTGCAATACCGCGCGACGACTGCGAGCAGGACACTATGCACGGTGGTGAGTCAGACCCTGGTAATATCGCAATGGTCTGCGATCACAACGACGAGCTTGCGTGGACCAGTGAACGCCAAGCGCACCTGTGCGCAGTTCTCAGGCGTTACAGTCGGACCTAGGCCAGAAGAACATCCGTCAAGAACATAAAACCCTCCGCCGACCCAAACGGAAGGACATCAGAGGGTGCCCTCCCCCAGGATGCAGAAGAACATCCAACAAACACGAAGAACATCAGGGTACCCTCCCCGAACCGACCTCGATCGTAGAACCTCGGTCCGACTGTACCGTTAAGGGGGGATGGGGGGGTAGGGGAGTAAGTAACACGCAATCCGCCGAGGGGTCAAAACAAAATCACAATCAGATCGGATCGACCGCGTCAGAACGCACAAGGAAGCCATGCGAGCGCCGGGCCGCATCGCATCGTCGGAATATCTGAATTGAATCGGATCGGGCTGGCCGGAATCGATATCGAACCGGGTCGATCGGATCCAAATGGGACCTGCAAGGGAGAGAGCGGGGGGCCCAGTGCCGACCAGGCTCCCGAGACACAAAGGCCGAGGGCGGTGCAGCGTCGAGGCAAGCCATGGCCACAGAGGCCCCCGAGGCGCCAGACCAGGGAGGCCTATGAGGGGGGCAGAAGGAGGAGGAGGAGGAGGAGGAGGCCTGCTCCGAGGCGCCGTGCAAAAACGGTTCGACGAAGGGGCGCAGCAGGTACTGGATGCACGCACGAGTGACCCTAGGCAGGAGCGGCCCTCGGTGCGCGGCTGGCCGATCGCCGCGCGCGATGCGACAGCAGCGGCATGCGCTCTTGGGTTTGGCCCCCCGCCGCGCGTCCCGAGGTGCGCGCGTCGAAGGGCACACGGGCAAAGGGTCGCTCTTGCGTGCAGCCGAAATACGTGTATACACATATATATATATATATATATATATAAAAAAAAAAAAAAAAAAAAAAAAAAAAAAAAAAAAAAAATGATAAGGGGCTGGCGCCCGGGATGGGCGCCCAGGGCGCAAGGCCAAGGGCCATGGAGGAGCCATGACTGGGGCCGCGGCGCGGGGCAGACGGACCACAGAGGCGAAGACGGGCGGCGGCACGACGACGCAAGCAGCTAACGGAGGCCACGATGAGTTAATACACTTTTTGGTCGGCGGGGCGAGAGCGAACCTCTTCCGCTAAAAGCTAGGCGGGCTACGCACAGCTTGAACTAGGGAGACAGGGCACAGGAGGGCGGGGCCTCAGGCGGCTGGAGCAGGATGAGTTAATACACGTACGACCCACACAAACAAACCCTCACACACACACACACACACACATGTGCACGCGCACACACTTCGCGCCGACAAAGACGCAGAACGCCAGCCGCAAAAACAACGGCAGACCCACGCCTTGGGCCTCCTTGCACCAACGAGCTTCGTGGTGGAGGAACATCGGGTCCCCCCGCTGCCGTAACGTCGCGATGCGTGCTACACGAAACCCTGAATCACCCTCACTGGCCGACCGCCACCACGGCCACGGACGGACCCATGGGCCACGCGCAGCGGAGAAGGCCACCAGGAGGGAGCCACTGTCATCGCTTCGTTCTGGCATCACGCATTACGGTTGTGACTTTTTGATTAGCGTATCGCGGCGGCGGCCCAGGCAACACGCAAGCAAATCCGCCGACCCTGTCGGCGTGTGTGAGGGGCTTCGTCCGTTCGAGTCGTCATCTCCGTCATTCGTTTGTCGTCGTCTCTGTCGTCCTCTTCTCCCCCTTTCCCAGGGACCGCCTCAGCCCGTCATTCGTTTGTCGTCGTGGCTGTCGTCCTCTTCCCCTCCTTTCCCAGGCGTTGAGGAACGCCGTAATGGAGTCGAAGGGAAGCCCCTTCCCTTCGATCCCTCCCCCGACGGGGGGGGGGTAGGGGGAAGGGTCCTGGGGGGGGGTCCCGGGGGGGGGTCCCGGGGGGGGGTCAGATACGACGCTCTCCCGGGGATTCCTGGAGCTCAAAAGAGTTCCAAAAAGGGCCAAGTGTGGTCTAATATGCCCCACAGACAGTCCACGAGAACCCCGACTCGCCTGACGATCTGTCCAAGACGCCTTCACGGCTTCCAGACGGCCCAAGAGGCCTGCAAGACGCCCCAAGAGGCATCCAGGAGCTTTCCCACGAGAGCCCCAAGAGGCAAAAATCGCAGATGTTCCATACGTTTTTGCAGGATTATAGTGCTCTTGCCTCTGACGTTTGCCAACGCGCCAAGACGGCCCAGGAGGCCCCCAATATCGCCCCGAGACATCCCAAGAGGCGCCCAAAAGCGTCCCCTAACGGCCCAAGAGGGCCCCAAGATGGCCCAAGACGCCTCCAGGACGTCCCCAGAAATCCTTGGAGGCCCCCCAAAAAGACCATGAAAAATGAAACATCGACTCGAACAGCGATCCTCGATCCTCCTCCTCCTCTTCCTCCTCTGCCTCCTCCTCCTCATCATCCTCCTCCTTCTCTGTTTCCCCCTCGCTCTTCGTCGTTTTTTCCCCCGCACCACCCTGAAACCTGCATGATCCTCCCAGAACCACCCCCTCTCTTCCCTCGGCCCACCTCCTCAAACGCTCCAGCCAGTGGAGAATCGAACGACAGCGTAATCGACTCGAAGGGGACCCCGTTCCTGTAATCCCTTCCCCACGAGAGAGGGGAGGTCCCGGGGTAGGGTGAGAGGGAGGAGAAGATCCCGCGGGGTCCCTGGAAGCGTCCTGCGAATCGTGACCCCCCCCCCAGCGTCCTGCGAATCGTGACCCCCCCCCTCCCCCTTCTCCGACCGAGAACGCCCAAGAGAGCCCCAGGAACACCCCAAGAGAGGCCGAAGAGGGGGAAAACCAACCCACATTTCAAGCTCCCCACTCCAAGAGGCTACCAGGAGGTCCCGAAATCACCGATGTTTCTTGGCCTGCTCGACTTCCAGGCTTCATACACTCCACGTCGGCCCCAGTTGCCTCCGAGAGCTCCCCAGAGCGGCCCAAGTACACGCCAGGGTGGCCCGGGAAGGCCCCAAGACGGCCCAAAGGCCCCCCAAGACAGCCCAAGAGGGCCCGGGAAGGCCCCAACAAGGACTCACGATCGTCGTCGCCGTCGCCGTCGTCGTCGTCGTCGTTCATCGTCCCCCTTCAGGGTCAACGGCATCGGCCGTAAGGCCTTCGCAATAGCGTGTCATTCCGCTCCGTGGACCGACCAGGAGGCTGGGAGAAGCTCAAGACGCTGATGCCTGGAGACGGGGACAGGGTTAGCGTGTCGTGCCGAAGCGCGGTGGGCCAGAACTGCCGGCCCGACACGCTAGGCAAATGCTCCTGGCCGCAACTAGATCCTTTCAACTCTCATCACCCCAAGACAGCGGTCCTTCATGTACTTCGCCACGTCCTCCTCGTCGAGCGCCTGCACCTGCAAGCGAGACCCTCACCCACTGATCGCGGGCGACGGCTCAGCGTGGCAAAACATGTCCAAACGCACTGCTCCGCGTCTCCCCACGCGATCTGTGATTATTCGCGAGGCTGGAACGTGCCCTCCGCATCTGTCTTCTTCAGCTCCTCCTTCTTCTCCACCTCCTCCTACTCCTCTTCCTCCTCCTCCTCCTCCTCCTCCTCCTCCTCCTCCTCCTCCTCCTCCTCCTCCTCCTCCTCCTCCTCATGCTCCCGTTCCTGCTCCTGCTCCTGCTCCTGCTACTGCTCCTCCTGCTGCTCCTCCTGCTCCTCCTCCTCATCCTCCTCCTCATCCTCCTCCTCCTCATCCGTAGCCATTTTGGCTCGAGGCCGGAATTGTATCGATTTCACTGCCTGGGTGGAGTAGGCTCCCATAGCTTTCAGCGATCCTCGTTTTCGCAGCAACCATCGTCGGGGAAGAGCTGCCGCCCACATCCTCATTCGCAGCCACCTCCAGGGGCGAGCGCGCATCCTTCGTGTCAGCGCGATGGCAGGCGACCGCGTCGTGGCGCTGGAGCCGAAGGTGCTGCAGCAGCTAGCCCTCAATCTCGACGTGGACGCCTCAGGCGACAACAAACAGCCGTTGTACCTGTATGCGATACGCAGGCAATGTCGGTACCGATGGACTTGGAAAGGCAAGACACAGTGCTCCATGTGCGGAAAGCCCTTCGCACCGTCTCCAGCTGAGCATCATCAGCCCGCAGGAGCGTGGGCGGGAAGCACATCCAAGCCGCCCTTGCACGCCTCCGAGCCACCTGCTGGGCATGCGTACCCAACACGGACGCCATCCTCGACGCACTCAACAAGCTCCTCACCGACGAGAAGCACGGAGACCTCGTCGGGCAGCTCAATGAGGCCATCATCATCATCATCATCATCATCATCATCATCATCATCATCATCATCATCATCATCATCATCATCATCATCATCATCATCATCATCATCATCATCATCATCATCATCATCATCAGCATCATCATCATCATCATCATTATCCGCCGTCGTCGTCTCATCATCAGCATCATCATCATCATCATCATCATCATCATCACCATCATCATCAACATCAGCATCATCATCATCAGCATCATCATCATCATCAGCAGCAGCAGCAGCATCCTCATCCTCATCCTCATCCTCATCATCATCAGCAGCACCAGCATCAGCATCAGCATCAGCATCAGCATCATCACCAACAGCATCATCAGCAGCATCATCATCACCATCATCATCAGCAGCAGCAACAGCAGCATCATCCTCCTCAGCCTCAGCATCCTCATCAGCATCTTCGCCCTCCTCATCACCCTCATCATGATCAGCCTCATCATCATCCTCATCCTGAGCATCATCAGCTGCATCATCATCAGCATCATCAATCAGCATCGGCATCAGCATCAATATCAGCATCATCATCGTCATCATCATCACAATCAGCATGATTATCATCATCGTCACCATCATCAAAATCATAATCATCATCAGCATCAGCATCAGCATCGTCCTCATCAGAATCATCATAATCATCAGAATCATCACAATCATCAGCAGCGTCATCATCAGCATCATAATGATCATCACCATTATCCTACTCATCATCATCATTCTCATTATCATAAGCAGCATTATCGCCATCATCATCAGCATCATCGCATGATCATACGCATCATCATCACCATAAGTTTCATCATCATCATCATCACCATCACCATCACCATCACCATCATCATCATCATCAACAACATCATCATCATTATTATTATCATTATTATTAGTATTATTATTAATGTTATCATCAGAGAGAGCGTGATCCACGCCGCTTTACTGTGAAAAATTCCCCCCCTCTTCCTCCGGAACGCAAGAGTCCCCCCCCCTTCAAACCCCCCCCCCTGCTGCCTTCCCGCCGCCAAACCCCCCCCTAACCCCCCCTCCTCCGGAAAACCGGGGGTGGGTCACTACAGGTTCGAAGCCCCCCCCCACCCTCCAGAAAACCGCAGGGGGTCACTACCGGTTCGAACCCCCCCCCCAGAAAACCGGGGGGTGTCACTACTGCCTCGAACCTTCCCCCCCCCCACCAACCGCTGGCAAACGACTCCCGTTTCCCCACCACCGTCCGCACCACATCCCCCACAGCTGTCCTCAGCACCACCATTCCCACCACCACTGTCCCCACTGTTCCCACCACCGTCCCCACTGTCCCCACCAGTGCCCACCACTGTCGCACTGTCCCCACTGTCCCCACCATTGTTCCCACCACGGTCCCACTCTCCCCACTTTCCCCACGGTCCCCACCACTGTCCCACTGTCCCCACTGTCCCCACTGTCCCACTGTCCCACTGTCCCACTGTCCCTGCCGCTGTCCCACTGAGCTGTCCCACTGTGCTGTCCCACTGTTCCCACCACTGTCCCCAGTGTCCCCACCACTGTCCCCACTGTACCTCTGTCCCCGCTGTTCCCATTGTCCCACCACCGTCCTCGCCACCGCCCTCACCACTGTCCCCACCACCACTGTCCCCACCACTGTCCCACTGATACCACTGTCCCCACCACTGTCGCACTGTCCCCACACCAGTGCCCACCACCACCGTCCCCACCACTGTCCCACAGTCCCCACCACTGTCCCACTGTCCCCAGTGTTCCCACCATTGTCCCTGCTGTCCCCAATAGTGGCCCCACCAGTGTCTCACTGTCCCCAATGTCACCACCATTGTCCTACCACGGTCCCACTCTCTCCATTGTCCCCACTGTCCCCACCACTGTCCCACTGTCCCCACTGTTCCCACCACTGCCCCACTGTCCCCACTGTCCCCGCCGCTGTCCCACTGTACTATCCCACCGTCCCCACTGTCCCCACCACTGTTCCACCACTCTCCCCACTGCACTACTGTCCCACCACCGTCCTCACCTCCGCCTTCACCACTGTCCCCACCACTACCGTCCCCACCACTGTCCCACTGTCCCCACTGTCCCGCTGTCCCCTCACCAATGTCCCCACCACCACTGTCCCCACCACTGTCCCGTTTGCCGGCGACGACAGAGGGAGGAGCTCGAACCGGTAGTGACCCCCCCCTTTTCATGATGGACGGGGGGTGAGGGGGGGGGGTCGAACCAGAAGTGACCCCCCCCCCGGTTTTTCGAGGGGGGGGGACGGGTTGGGAACCCCCAGTGCCCCCCCCCGGTTTTCCGCCAGCAGCGGTAGAACACGCTCTTTCCACCACCACCACCACCACCACCACCACCACCATCATCATCATCATCATCATCATCATCATCATCATCATCATCATCATCATCATCATCATCATCATCATCATCATCATCATCATCATCATCATCATCATCATCATCATCATCATCATCATCATCATCATCATCATCATCATCATCATCATCATCATCATCATCATCTCATCATCATCATCATCATCATTCATCATCATCATCACGTCAGCATCATCGTCATCATCATCATCATCATCATCATCATCGTCATCGTCATCGTCATCGTCATCGTCATTGTCATCGTCGTCGTCGCCATCATCATCAGCAGCAGCAATAGCATCATCCTCATCCGCATCCTCATCATCATCATCACCATCATCAGCATCAGCATCATCAGCATCCTTAGCAGAAGCATCATCATCAACAGCACCAGCATCATCATCAGCATCATCAGCAGCATCATCATCCTCATCATCATAAGCATCATCAGCATCACCATTGTCAGCATCATCATAATCGTCATCATCGTCATCATCATCACTATCATCAGCATCAGAAACATTAGCATCATCACCATCATCAGCAGCATCATCACATGCTCATCCTCAGTATCATTAGCATCAGCATAATCCACATCCTCATAATCATCATCATCATCATCATCATCATCATCATCATCATCAGCATCAGCATCATTATCATCCTCATCATCATCACATTCATCATCAGCATCATCATCATTAGCAGCAGCATCATCCTCAGCACCATCATCATCATTAGCATCATCACCATCATCATCACCATCAGAATCATCATCATCCTCATCATCATCATCATCATCATCATCATCATCATCACCATCATCATCATGCTCCTCATCCACATCATCCTGGTCCTTTTCCTCTTCCTCCCCCCGCTCCTCCTCCGAATTTCTTCCTCCTCCTCCTCCTCACCCTCCTCCCCCTCCTCCTCCCGCTCCTCCTCCTCCTCCTCCTCCTCCCGCTCCTCCTCCCCCTCCTCCTCTTCCTCCTCCTCCTCATCCTCCTCCCTCCTCCCTCCTCGTTCCCCTCCCCCCCGGGCCCCCGTCCCGAATCGGGGCTCCCGCGGACGGAGCCCGGGCGCCTCCGCGGGCCGCGGTGCGGAAGCCGAGGACCGTTGGGGCGCAGGCGCCGCTCGGCGAGCGGAACGGCAGAGCGGAGAGCACACGGGGAGAGGGAGAAGGAGAGAGAGAGAGAGAGGTAGAGAAGGAAAGAATGGACCGAAAGCACGAGAGAGAGAGAGGGAGGAGGGGGGGGGAGGGAGAGAAGGAGAGAAAGGGAGAACGGGAGAGAGAGAGAGAGAGAGAGAGAGAGAGAGAAAGAAGAGAGGCGAACCGCACTGATGGGATCTACGAGCCCGGTAAGGAACTTGAGTCAGACTGTATTATGGCACCTATTGGCACGCCGTGCCGCGCTGTCGTATGATATGCTGGGCTCTGCTGTGCGGCGTGGTGTGCTACGCCGTGTAATGGCGGGCCGCGCGTTCGTGTGAGACTTCGTCACGAGGCCCGTCACTAAGGCATCGTGTGTACTGGCCTAGAGCATGGCGCCCATACATGTCGAAGCGCGTGTCAAATGCGCACGCGCCAGACGCATGTTGGATACACCCCCCTCCGCGCACATCTTCTGCACCTGTGACAAATCCGCCGACGGCTTGCCATCCCCGTGGGTGCCTGAACAGGTGGAAACACGTGCTAAACGCACACGCGCCAGACGCAAATCGTATACCCCCCCATCCGCACCAGAATTCTGCACGAGAGCCTGGGCTCGTGAAAACACGCGCGCACGAGCCAGACGCCCTCCGCGTACGCATGTTCGCATGAAAAAATCCGCCTGCCACATTTTCCTTCGCGCCTGCTACGTACCAATATATCCAAAGTGCTCGCGCAACAGACGCATGCTGAAGAACCCTCTCCGCGCACTGCGCTGCACATGCGAATCACTTCCTTGGCAACTATAGGAGGCGAAACCAGTCCCCGAATGAGCAAGCGACAGGCACATGCTGGATACCCCTCAGCGCACGTACTTTTAAATGCAAAGAATCCACTCACCACATTTGGGAGACCCCTGCGCGCCTCAAAATACATCCCAAATACGCACGCGCCAGACACATATTGGAGGTCCCCGTCCGCGGAAGTACCCGGTCGAGTGGAGAATCCACTTATCACATGCTCGACATCCCCGTGGGGCCTGGACACGTGAAAACACGTGCCACGCATGTTGGAGACTCACATCCGCGCACAAATTCTGCACGTGTGACAAATCCACCGACCGCATGTTCAAGATCCCCCCCGGGGCGGGGGGGTGCTTGACACATGAACGTGCCTAACGCGAACGCACCAGACGCATGTTGGATACCCCCCGACCGCGCAAAACATCTATACGCGTGGAAAATCCACCGACGGCAAGTTCGACACCCCCCGTGGGTCCTGGACACGTGAGAGTACGCGCCAAAGGCGCACGCGCCAGACGCATGTTGGATACATCCCTCCGCGCACGGCTGTTTACGTGTGGCAAATCAGACGGCGCCGAAAACACATGAAACCACATGCCAAACGCATACAGTAGGGGCCCCCCTGAGACCCCAGGACGTGCATTGATTTTTGATGTGGGAACGTGACGATTTCCATCGCAAAACAATCGAAACCCAAGAAACCCAGGGCACCCTGGAGGCAAGCAGGGTGTTTCTTGGCACGAGTCTCCACTGTACGTGCCGAGGCGCATTGGATGCCTCTGCTCCACACGTGTATCTCCACGCGCGAAGGATCCGACAGACGCATGTTTCAAATGCGCGCGCGCCAAACACCCATTGGATACCTCCCCCCCTCCGCGCACACATTTGTACGCGTAAAGGTTCCAAAAGCTGCACGTTCGACATCCCACCTGCGGGCTCCTGCCGAACACACACATGAAACACAGATTCCCCCCGCATTCCAGACGCATGCGTGTCGAGGCGCATGTTGGATGCCACCCTCTCCGCACACACACACACACACACACACACACACACACACACACACACACACACCACACACACACACACACACACGCGTACATGTATCTATATATATATATATATATATATATATACATATATATATATATATATACATATATATATATTCACGTGCCAAAATCCAATGCCACCTGTTGGACACCCTTCCAGACGAGGGCCAAAGGCCCGCACATTCAAAGAGAACCCTGGGACGGACCACGACAAACACGTGTCAAATACGCACGCGCAAGACGCATATTGGGTATTTCTATCTCCGCGTACGTATTTCGACCTCAGAGAAATCACCGACCGCATCTTCAACATCCCCCTGGGGGGGGGGCCTTAGACATTTCCCTGGGGGGCCTGGATGGTGAGAGCACGCGCCAAACGCGCATGCGCTAGAAGCATGTTGGATAATACCTCCCTCCGCGCAAGTACTTCTACGTGCGGAGAAACCGCCGACCGCATGATCGACATCCCCTGTGGGCATGGACAGGTGAAAACACGTGCCAAACGCGGACGCGCCAAACGCATGATGGGTACGCCCATCCGCGCACAGATTCTGACGTGTGAAGATTCCACCGCATGTTGAATATCCAATAGCGGGCCTTGAAATGTGAAAACATATCCCAAAAAGCGCACGGGCCCGACGCATGTTGGATAACACCCGTCCGCGCACAAATTCTGCACGCGTGAAAAATCCGCCGATGGCATGTTCGACGTCTCCCCGGGGTGGTGGACATCCGACTGGGGGCCAGGGCACATGAGAACATATACCAAGCGCGCATGCGTCAGTCGCATGTTAGATAATATGTGAGGAATCGGCTGACCGCAAGTTCGACAACCCCGTGGGGACCATGTCATCTACACACGTGAGAGCACGTGCAAAACGCGCACGCACCAGAAGCATGATGGATGACCCCCTCCGCACACGTATTTCTACATGTGGAAGATCCGACGCCACCTGCTCGACCTCCTCTCCGGTCTAGGGTCAAAGGCCCGCCAGCTAAACGACAGCCCCGAGCAGGAACCCCTTACCAGGCGCGGTGGAACAAAAAAACAAGCAGCTGAGCACTTACGCCGAAAGCGGTATCCTGCAGCTCCTGGGCTAGCAGCAGCAGGTCAAGGGCGTCTTCTGGGTTCAGCTCGGAGTCGATGCCACCGAAGTACATAAATCGCACCAAGCACCTGATCGCCCACCGATTGGTGGGCAGGCTCCAAACCGTGGCAGAAGGCAGCCCAGCCCTCCGACGCATTGGCAACCAAAAACTGACGCGCTGCTCCGTGGTCGGCTTCCCGAAGGCCCTCACTAGGCCCCACGACTTTCGAAAAACAGCATAAAACGACAACATACAAAAGCACGGGTTGGGAATTCCGGAGACCCTGCATTGAAAGCCGCCAGTTCGATGGCATGTTCAAACGCGTGGTGTAGACCACGGTGGGACGAAACCCAATGATCACCCCCACAGGCCAGACCACAGCTGGATGGATAGAGAGAGTATATCATTGGCTTCGCCGCTTCACACGAAAGTGACGCAGCTTGCGTCCCAGCGCAGAGCAAGGGTTGGCAATGCATTGTGAGACATGAGTAATTAAATCATGCTGCTTCAAGGGCAAGCGGTAGCTTGAGCGTGAGGAAACACTAAGATGAGCATAATGATAAACAGGAGTACGAAGATGACGAGCTGGAAGGAGGGGGATCGGAGGAGGAGGAGGAGAAAGAGGAGGAGGAGGAGGAGGAGGAGGAGGAGGAGCGAGGCGAGAGAAGGGGAGGGAGCGAGCAGGGTGAAGCGAGGAGGAAGGGAGTGAGGGAGGGAGGGAGGAGCGAGGGAGTGCGACGGGAGGAGGCAGGAGGGAGGGAGAAGGGGGAGGAGCGAGGATCGAGACGGTCGGACGGAAGAAGGAGGGGGTGGGACAGGGGAGGCCAAGGGAGGGAGGTGTCCTCCCGAGGAGGACTGTACGTTGGGCCCGCGGGCCCGGGTCCTTTGGGCCCTTTGGGCCCGCGGGACCGGGTCCTCCGGCAGAGGGTCGCAGGGCCAAGGGGGCGACTGCGTCGACTCCTCGACGCCCTCCCAGGGGAAGGGCAGGCTCGCTCGCGCGGGGAGTGCAGGGATGGGGGAGGGCGGAGGGGGGGGCGGCCTGTTGCTGCCCAGCCCGCCCTTGCCCGCCTCCGAACCCCAGCCTGCACGGAGAGAGCCGCACCTTCGCCCGAGAAGCGAACGCAGGGGGAGAAGAGGGGAAGACCTGGGGAGAGGCTCCTTTCGGAGACCTCTCCAGCAGGGACCCCCGCACGTACTCACGGCCGACTCTCGTCGACGCAGTACGCAGCCGCGGGACTAGGAGTACGGAGGGAGTGGGAGTCACCCAGGAGGCAAAGAGGTCTTTTTCTCCCGTGGCCCTGCCCAGAAGGCTGCCTCCTCCTGCTCCTGCTCACGAGGAAAACCGCCAGCGCGGCCGCCTCCGCGAAGCCTTCCTCGCCCAGCCGCACACACACACAAGACCGGCCGAACGCTGGACTCCCTGTCGGGTGGCACATCCCTGCCTCTCGCCTGCCAGGCCCGAGGGGGCCGGTCTTCGCGCAGGCGGCGAGCGCGAGCAGGGCGGGGCTGTGCGTGATGCCGCCGCAGCAGATGCAGTTTGGGCGACGGGCCCACGAGCGAGCGTCCCCGACGTCCCGACGTGGGCAAGACACACCAGCTGGAGGCGAAGGCGCGCGAACGCTCTCTGGCATTGGAGCGCTTCCCAGCTCAGTCCCAGTGCCGGGGCGAGGGACAGATCGCGCCAGATCCCCCCACCCAGGGAGAGGTAGGGGAGCGGTCGCGTGTGTAGGGCCAGCTCTTAGACCAGCTTCGGCGGCGAGCCCAGGGGCAAGTGAGAGGGGGCTCCTGGGCTCTGGCCTTATACGCCTCCAGGTTGATGAACATTGGGCGAGATGCCTCTCAGGCTGGCTAGCCTGGCAGATCCCAGGACTCCAGCTGATACAAGGATGCAAGTGACCACGCGCGCCCGGGCGCCAGGTGGGTGGGCGAGGAGAGGAGGAGGAAGAGGAGGAGGAGGAGGAGGAGGGATGACAAGCGAGGAGGACGAGGAGGAGGAGGCGGAGGAGAAAGAGGAGGAGGAGGAGGATGAGAAGGAGGAGCAGGAGGAGGAGGAGTAGGAGGAGGAGGGAGAGGAGGAGGAGGAGGAGGAGGAGGAGGAGGAGGAGGAGGAGGAGGAGGAGGAGGAGGAGGAGGAGGAGGAGGAGGAAGGCGCTTGGCCGAAGCTGCATTTTTCGCCCACAAGGGGGAGGCGGATCTGGCCTCGGTGAGGGGTGGTAGAATGCCAAGGGCTGTCTGGTATGGTTTTGTTGACTTCTAAGTGGCGCCGCCCTGCCCGCTCAGGTGCATGCATCCCCCCTCTGTCGAGGCCACGAACCTTCGAAACAGAACTGTAGATCCGCGCTACTGGGGTATCGATCCATCGCAAAAAAAAAACAAAAATCCCCCCCACCCCACCCAAAAAAACGATGGGTCCGCGCTCCCGAGCTTCCAAGACAACCGAGGCAGGTAACAAACCGCCAATATTGTCCCAGATGCCTCCAAGACGGCCTAAGGTGGCCCTTAGGCGGCCCAAGATGGCCGCAAGACGGCACACGATGCCTCCAATAACGTCCAAGACGAACACGAGAGGACCCCCAGCAGGGTCGATGAAGCCAAATTCCTTGATTTATTCCATGTGTTGAAGGATGATCGCGTTCTCGCCTTCTCGAGTTTCCGTCAGCTCAGGACGGTCCAAAGAGCCTCCAAGATGGTCCCAAGACGGCCCAAGAGGTCCCCAAGAGAATCTCAAGACGGCTGAAGAGGACGCCATGATAGTCCAAGAGGCTTCCAAGATGGCCCAAGAGGGCGACCCAAGACGTCGGCGTTAGAAGGCTTCGACGGTTCAAGACGGTGCCAAGACACCCCATGCGGTAAACAGGGCCCCAAGACGGCCCAAGACAGCCCCGAGTCGGCCTAAGAGCACCCCAAGAACGGTCCCAAAGGGCCCCAAGACAGCCTCCAGGAACTCCAAGACTGCCCCACACGAGCCCAAGACAGCCCCAAGACGGCCCAAATGAGCTCAATGAGAGCCCCATCAAGAAGTGAAGACGAAAGGAGTCACGTGTGACGGCCTTCCTCTTCCTCCTCCTCCTCCTCCTCCTCCTCCTCCTCCTCCTCCTCCTCCCTCCTCCTCCTCCTCCTCCTCCTCCTCCTCCTCCTCCTCCTCCTCATCCTCATCCTCATCCTCATCCTCATCCTCATCCTGATCATCATCATCATCATCATCATCATCATCATCATCATCATCATCATCATCATCATCATCATCATCATCATCATCATCATCATCATCATCATCATCATCAGCATCATCATGTTCCTCCTCCTACTCCTATCTAATACTCCTACTCCTCCTCGGCCTCCTGCTACTCCTCGTCATCGTCATCGCCGTCGTCGTCGTCAGCATCACAACTACCACCACCACCACCACCACCACCATCATCATCATCATCATCATCATCATCATCATCATCATCATCATCATCATCAGCATCAGCATCAGCATCAGCATCAGCAGCATCATCATCAGCAGCAGCATCACCATCAGCAGCAGCATCATCAGCAGTATCATCAGATGCATCATCATCAGCATCGTCAGCATCATCATCATCATCATCATCATCATCATCATCATCATCATCATCATCATCATCATCGTCATCATCATCATCATCATCATTATCATCATCGTCAGCAGCAGCAGCAACAGCATCATCGTCATCAGCGTCATCGTCAGCATCAGCATCATCATCATCAGCATCATCATCATCAGCATCAGCATCATCAGCATCATCATCAGCATCATCATCATCATCATCATCCTCGTCATCATCATCATGATCATCAGCATCATCATCATCATCAGCATCATCATCATCATCATCAGCATCATCATCATCATCATCATCATCATCATCATCATCCTCATAGTCATCATCATCATCATCATCATCATCATCATCATCATCATCATCATCATCATCACGGCTTTCCCAAGCTTGGGGGCACGAAGTGTCACATGTGACGGCCACCCGTGCCCCCTCGAACAGCCGCCACGCAGAATGCTGGGCTGGCACGGTGGCGGGACTTGCCGCGCAGGCAGCGGGATAAACTCCTGTCCAGGGCATGTTGGACTCATGTGACTCCTTATGGCGCTACATCGCATATACACAGTGGCCCCTGTGAGAAGAAAGGTTGCAATTCAGAGCTACACCACGATCAGACTCGTAGGAGAGCAGTGCCCATGCGCTGACTCGCGGAAGGGAGGGCGCGCTTGCTGCAGTCGCTGCGACAGAAAGGCGTCTCCATCCCGTCTCCTAATCCTCCAGTTGCATGACTTGTGCAAACACTTGCGGAGTGCAGAACGGGTGCGCGCAGTCGCCTGACGACCTTGTACTTGTGGTCGAGGCTGATCGTGGCGTGCGCCCCACCTCCGAGCTGCCCGCTGAACCACTCGGACTGCGACGCGAGGATGGCCTCGGCAGGCCGCAGGCGAGCGGCGTGACGTGGACAGAACCACTCGCCGAGGGGATCGGAGAGATCGGGAATGACAACCTGCGAGTCCTGCCGTGCTGCGAGGCCAATCCCTCTGCACCTCACAGCAACACGGCCCGCGCGAGGTTGTAGAACGGGGCAGGGCGAAATGGATTTCGAGGCGAGCCTGAGAAAGCGACCCTACTGCATGAGGGCGTCCCGGGCCGCGCTACTCCTAGCACAAGCCCGAAGACGGAGCCGCCCAAATGATGGG